ATTTATAGAACACAGTCAGAGTAGATTTGGCTATGTTCTTACGGGATCTACGATTTTAAGAATGCTAAATGAGTATTGCTTTCAACTTAAATTCACCAGCTGCATTTGCTCCTAGCAAGAGTCAGCCTGCCCTTTGAAGCTTTTAAGCCTGCAGCTTCTACATCAGTACTTGCTGCTTATCTTGACTTTTATGTTATAGAGACAGTTTCTTACCTTAAATTTCACCATCCTCTGTTAGTTTCAAGCTTTTGAAACTACAGTTTTCTTACCTTTCTGGCTTCACAGCTTTGAAGAGAGCTAGAACCTTGCTCAGAATTAAGTTTCAGCGTAAGGAAATATTATGGCTGTTATAATTTTCTATCCAGACCACCAAAACTTCTTCATGTTAGCAATATGACTGCTTTGCTTTGTTATTGTTTGTGTGTTCACTGGAGTAGCACTTTTAATTTCCTTCAAGAATTTTCTTTTGCATTCACACCTTGGCTAACTATTTCATGCAAGAGACCTAGCTTTCGGCCTATCTTAACTCCTCAGACACTCTCCTCATGGACTTTAATCACTTCTAACTTATGATTTGAAATGAGAGATGAGCAACATTTCCTTTCATTCCAACAGCTAGAAGTCAATGTATGACTGCTAATTAGCCTGATACACAATATTGTTGTGTTTCAGGAAATAGGGCCAAGGAGGACAGCAATAGGTGGGCAGCCAGTTCATAGCCAGTCTGAACACATCAGATTTATAGATTAAGTGTGATTATGGCCTAAAACAGTAGATGACCCAAAAACAATTACAATAGTAACATCAAGATCATTTTCATATGTAACAAGATGACCATCACAGATATAATAATAATGAAAAAAACCTGAAAGATTGCACGTTTAAAGAATCAAAAATTAATCATACATCTTAGAGGACAGAAGAACTGGTGATAAGGGGAGAGACTCACAGGAGGAGTGCTGATGAAAAAAATCACTCAGCTTTCAGTAACAAAATTGTCCCTATTTGAAGTTTTTTATTTGATTTTTATAATTATTGAATATATTATTAATAATGACTTTAATTATTTAAGCTTCTGTAAAATGAAAGAACATTGTGTCACAGACTTCTTTAAAAAAAAAAGTGTGAATCTACCTTAATATCATTAGTTCTATTTATTTAGGCTAACTGAGACTTGGACCTAGCTAAATATATATTACAATGTCACAAAAATGTCTGCTCATTCATTTCAATGTGGGAAACTTTGTCAACACTAATTCAGTGTGGAAAAAATATTAAAATCTTAATTAAAACAAAGTAAAATTAAATGAAATTAGTATTATTTAATTTAAAATAAAGCACACACATAACCCTGATTGATGACCTCTCTGTCAGTGGTTGCTTTAAATATGTTTCTTCTCCCTCTTTGATTTTGTTTTCCTATATAAGCAGTAGAGGATTAGAGAATTGGGGTCAGAGTTCACAAACTCTGATGTCCTGTGAACTAAAAAATAAATCAAGATTATTAGATTGATCTCAAGGCAGTGAATTTTTCATTCATTTTATCTTGCTTTAATGAGTTCTAATACCTTTAAGTAGACATATTCCCTCATGTTTTCCTGGGGATTCAATCCCTACTCCAGTCTCTGAATTAATATAGTCTCTATGTTTTAATTACTGAAAATGTTTGAGTTAAGTGCTCTTATAGTAAACATTTTGTTAAATTTTCCTGATGAGAAAAATTCTATAATACCACTTGAGAGGGTAAAAGTTCTTTTCCATTCCCCCATCACTAAAAGGATAAAACGAGCTAGAAGGAAATTCATATATTCAGGCTACCTGATATCAGATCATCTTCACACACAATCTTCCAAAATGCCCCAGTAAATTACATAATATCAGACCTATTTTACAGATGACAAAATAGGTTCAAAGATGTTATTATGTTGCCCATGGTCAGAAACTTAATTAATTGATGAAGTCAGGATCGAACCCTTAACGGTTTACCTCTAAAACCTCCTATACCCATTTCCCTTAGTGGAAAAAAAAAAAAATTGCAAGGCTCTCCTGAACAAAGAAGCATTACACAATTTTTGAAATACTGCAAAATATCTTATTTGCATGCTGGTCTTTATGACCAGTAGAAAGTTGCCTTCAAGCTGTGCTCAGGTACATACTTGACTGTCAAAAGAACCACACAGAATTTAGGAACAATTTGTGTTAGAAGCAATTTGACTTTCATTTACATATTGATGTGACTTTGGAAAATATATCACAAATCACTCAAAATAGACATTTAAGAAATTTGATTTCTAGCATCCATTTTTTTCTGTTTTTTGCAGAATACTAGTATCTTATATGTTCAAATTTATTTCTAGAAAATATCACTGAAAATTTGCATGCCATAGTATGGAAGAGTGCTTGATTACCTACAAGGTTTGTCTGACATAGAAAAGCTCTGGTAAGAAGTTCAGGAATGGAAGATTGAAAGAAAGTTACTATCAGTACTCTCACTAATTAAAAAGTTGTGTTGTATTTTCAATTGGCACTTTTGTAAAACAAGTTTGCTAATATGTAATAGAAATTTGTGTTTAGGATGATTGCTATCTTATGTTAATCACTGGGTTAACTTAAACATAGTGGCAAACAAATGTTGAAAATGAAGGTTTATATCTATATATCTATATCTATATCTATATCTATATTTTGCTTGCTCTACCTTCCTGAAATGCAATTCAGGAAAATTTGTCCACATTGGTCCCAGACAATTATTTATTTATTTTTATTGAAGTACCATTATTTTATAGCTTTGCTAGTGTTTTGATAGCAGAGGATTCTACTCCATTAGGTGTACTGACATTCATCCTCCCACTGCCTAAGTACCCACAGTTTTCCCCATAATCTATTGTGTTTTCCCCTCCAATCCTTTATTTTCACCCCTCTCATTCTCTCTCTGAAAGCCAAATATCTATGGTCAGTTTTCAAGGATTGGTTTTAAAGTTTATCTTTGACCCTTTAGTTTTCTATATTCCTCATGTAAGTGATACCATCTGGTATCTGGTTTATTTCACTTAGGATAAACCCAGCATACCCATTCTACAAAAATGTTTATTTTTGAAAAGGACAAAAAAAAAGAAATTCACAAATTAAAAAATAATGTAAAATTATGTCTTCCTGGGGCCTCATTCTATAATTCGTAAACTTTGGTTTTATCAGGATTCTTCTGATGTAACAGAAAGATTAAGCCAGTATTTTTTGTTTTACCTAAAATAAATGATACTCAAATTTACATATAGATATTTTCTGCAAATGCAGTACAAGTTATTATAAGACATTAAGACAATTTGACTGCTGAATTTCACTTTCTGTGAGTTAGACTTGGGGTGAGTGAGAAATTCATTGCCCTTTTCAGATAATTCACAATTGTGCTAATTGTATGTCAGACGTGAAAGTTGTGGCATTGTGACCTTCAAGCCAAAAAAGACCTTTTCACGTAAGCCATTTCCATGTCCATTAATAAAATAAACCATGCCCTTCCACACTTAAATAATATATGGCTTTTATTTCATTATATGTAAATATAAACCAAGGGTCCAGTCTACTATATTAAAAGTAATGACAGAGAAAAAACAAAGACTATAAATCCACTTAAGTAACATTTTATGGTACTCCTCAAATAGTGATCTAAAAATATGCTTGTTGTTGGCTTCCACTGAATGCATCTAAACATGGTTTATCCAAATCTGAATACATTTTGAGTGTGAGCACTAAAAACTAGGATGTGTTAAAAAGTACATGATAACAGACATTAAGAAAGTTAGAAAAATGATTGCTATAAAAATTATCTCTTTGCAATGATGGATATAAACACCTATTTTGTAGATGAGAAAATTTTGCCTGTGTACATACTCACTCACTGCTGGCAAGAGAAATGGTGAATGAGAGTGAGGTTCAAAGAAGGAAAAGTATCCCAGGCTCTATCTAATAGTCCTTTCGTGTTATGCAATATTTGTAACATTGGCCTTATGTAATGGACAAAAGGGTAATGATTTAGAAAAACACCCATTTCACTAGAAAAGAGTGTATGTTTTAAAAAGGCAGAATGAATAAAGGAACTTGAGTGTCACTAACACTTGAATCAAATCAACTACTGGCATGCAAGCGGTGCCCATGAAATTATAGTAGAAAATCAAGAACAGGAAAAAGAATGTAATTACCTTGTATTTGTCCAGCTTTGTAGTATATTTGATACTGAATAAAACATGAATAAAGACGCAGTCATATTTAATACAATTTAAGTGTACTTAATAGACCTCTGGGAAATAATAAACCAATGACAAAATAATTCATACCCATATGAGATTCCAATAACCTATTAACATTCAATCCATAAGATTTTATTCCTGTCCCATGGGAAACCATATTAGTTAGCTTCTTGCTGTTTAGATACTGACACTGAAAAATTGTGTAGGGTTTACTGATTCACTCATTCAGCTTCCTTTTGTTTTAAGCAGTCTTCAAGGGCCCTTTGTCATTATTTGTTTTAACAGATCTATGAATACTTGTATGAAACAGCTGCTAGTGGCAATTTTGAGAATGTTTGTCAATGAGATTTTGTTGTTTATTTATTTATTTATTTTTTAATTTTTACATCATTGTTCATTTTTAACAATATTTTCTTCCCCCATCCCCTCAGGTGTAGTCCCCATAGAGTTTCCTTCACCAATGCACCCCTGCACCATCACTCAGTCCCCTGTGCTCCTCTCTCCCTCCCTCTGATCCCTCTCCCTCCTCCTCCCCTGCAGCATGTCTCTGATTTATAATTGTCTGTTTTTGCTTTGTTGTGTTTTGTACTGTTATAATTTTTTTACACTGATGTTTTATTTGGTTCCCCTATATTCCTGCTATAAGAGATTTTGAATGACTAGCATACATGTTCTTACTTGGTTAGGTAACAAGTGTTTCTACATTTCCCTGATAATCTGAAATAATTTCTATTCATTATTCTGGATTGATTTAAGGTGGCGAATCTTGCTTGTTCCATGTCAACAAATGAAGATGGCATTAAAATTGTCAAAACTGCAGCCTGTCACCTGGAAACCTTGTGTCCACAGGTATGATAACTAAGTTACTGTCTCTTTTATTCAACTAGCTATAAAATTTATATATATTGCTTCAGAATTTTAGAAATATTGAAATATGCTAAAATACTTATTTCAAACACAGAGAACTATACCCTAAGGTAATGGCATGTTCTTTAGCAAGGACCTACTATAATTCTTCATTTAGCTCCTGGTTCTTATAATGTTCCCAAAGGGATTATATGAGAATCTTGTGAGAGAAGGGGCACAGTTTGAAATCAAAGCAGCACTTTGTACAACAAATTTTATTTATTTATTTTGGTACCATGGGGTTACAACACTGTAAGATTGAGAGATAAATAGGATCACACCTCTTCAGGTGAATGTTAACCACACCACACCCACTACCAGGATACCCATTTCAGATTTAATTTTTTTTTTAGTAATTTATTTAATTTTGAAATCTTAAATAGCATGAAAGTATTGACTTCTTTTTTACAATCATCAAAAGAGGGCATACGTTTGGAAATGACAGGAAATTATTTCTTGATATAATTCAGGAGTTTCAAAAAATCTGAATAACATATTTTAGGTAATTATTTCTAGATGATTAGTAGCCTTGAAGTCATGAATCAGGATACATGTAAGAGCACTCTTAAACATCTTGTTTTAGTCTAAGCCAGGCATGCTATTATTAATTATTTCCTAATAAGAACCACCAGTATTGTAGAGATATGAAATACAATAATGATTTGGAAGTTCAAATCTGTGGACATCAGTTAAGATTCTGATTCTATGAAAAATAGAGTAAATTCTTGATCTGTCTTTCTGACAATTTCATTTCTAAACATATTAAAGAAGCAGTACAGGAAATTGCTTCTTTTGGCTTAATATTTATTAACAAGTAAATACTGGCAGGAGAAATAGAATTTAGAAGACCTGCAACTGAGATCACACAACCACTGTCAGTTTTCTATGAAGTCATACAGGGACAGAACACTGCAATAAGGTTTCTAAAGTTGCTCAATCACTTATATGCCTTTCTCAACAACCTATGTGCTCTCATGTCTCCATATCATAGATAATACTTGATGCTGTCATTTTTTAAAAGTCTTTTGAATCCTAAGAATATTAAATATATCTCATTGGTTTTAATTTATAGCTTTTCTCATTACTGAAGAGATTATTTCTTCAAGTGTTTATTAAGAATTTGCGTAATTCTATGTATTGACTAAACCTTTTAACAACTTTTAGTTGGATTGTGTATCATTTGCTTACTTAGCTTTGCATTGCTTAAGTTTATTAAAAAGATCTTCTGTGATGATGACTTCTAACTTTTTAAATAATATTTAACCAAAGAAAATTTTAATATATGCATGTGATCTGTTTTTTTAAAACCTTCTATAACTATGTTTTGATCACTTACTCTGTGCCAAGCTTTATGATTTTGTGTTTTATTAGAAAATTTGTCCAAGAAAAAATGTTATATATTCCCCATAGTTTCTTTTAAAAAGAATGAAGTATTGTTATTCAAATTTTAGTCTTTATCTGAAATTTATTTTTATGTCTAAAATGAGGTAGAGTTCTATTTTTATTTATAGTGCTAGCCATTGGGTCATCATAGATTTATCCACCATGGATAAATATTTTTAATATTAATATGAAATGCTGCTATTGTTTCACCCACACACACACATCCTTTTAAAATGTTTCCATTATCTCATATATATATATTTGTATTCACATATGTGTATACTTATTTACATATACAATACATGCACAATTTTTTGTAATACATTCTACATATTTAACAAATAAGATATGCATATTAAATTACCTAATATATATAAACATACAATTATTTTGTTGCTATTCCTTATGTAAATATAGATTGACAGAAATGTTGAAGTATGTTTCAAGATACACAAGTTTTAGAGAACTCTGTTCTACTCCACTCATTTATTTATCCCTGAAACAGTATTACAATGTCTTAATTATGGGCTTATCTGAAACTTTGGTATATTAAAGCAAACTGGCATATTTGGTTAAGCTATTACTGTTATTATTTTTTGCTCTTTCATTTAACTTTCAGGATCAACTTGTAAAGTTCCATGAAAATTTGTTAGAATTTTTTATTGAAATAATTAAAATGCTTTGAATTTTAGATTATTTTAGGGAATAATTATTTTTTTTTTAAGATACTGATTTTTTCCATTAGTAAACATGCTTGATGTATCTCCACAATCAGGTATTTTCTTAAAGTCTTCTTGGGATACTCTTTATTTTATTATTTACTACAATAAGTTCCATGATTATATGCTGATAGCTTCCAAATTTTTCTCTACAGGCCAGAACTCTCCCCTAAATACTAGACTCAAATATGTAAAGTTCCATTTCCATTTGATATCTAGAAGACTTCTAAAACTTAAAGTAGCCAAAGGGAACTCCTGATTACCCTAGTTTCCTTTCACTTTGCTACTTCTTCCATGTTTCCAATTTTAGTGAGTGGTGTCACATTTACCTAGTTGTTCTGGGGAAAAAAACCTAAAGGTTTTCCTTTTCATTCATGTAGTAAATATTTATTGAAAATACACTACATTGTAGGCACTGATTATACAACTAGAGAGAAAAAAGTAAATAAAACAGATGCAAAAATGCCCTTGTGAAAGTTCTATTCTTTACACCTATCTAATCCATTAACAAGTCCTGTCAATTTCACCAGAAATGCTTTTCTTGAATCTGTATACTTTTCTACATCTTTTCTGTCAGGATTTTATCTTATTCCACCATCATCTTTATCTTGGACTACAGAAATATCATCCTGTGTGTTTTATATCCCTTATACTCTATCTCTCTAATCTACTTCTACGTAAAAGTCTTAGTGAAATTTCAAAGATGTTTATCAAAGCAATTGCTTTCCCAAGACTTACCAGTAGAATGCAAACATTTTTATGGCTTAATCAGTCTTTTATGAACTTCCTACTGTGAACTTTCAAACCTACCCAATTTTTTTTTTTCCTTTTCATCCCTTAAATCGCTACATATTGACTTTTCTGTTTCTAGAACACTGTGTAAGTTCCTTTCCAGTAGAAATACTAGCTGTATTGGGTAATTTCCCAGTGCTCTTTCTCCATATAGTCATTTGGACAGCTTCTGTTACAGTGAATTATGAAAACCCAAATATTATCTTCTCAGAGATCAATTTCCCTAAATCATTCCTCCAGCTAGACCCTAATACACCACTATATTTCTTTCTTTTAAAAATCTATATCATATCCTAAAACTTTTTTATTATTTTGTTATTTTATAGTATACATTCCTCACACCATGAAGGAAATTATTTGGTCTTTTTTATTCATTACTTATACTTCCTATACCTAACAGAAGTTCAGATTTTATTGGATGTTTGATAAACATTTGTCCAATATATAAATAAATAATAGAGTACCAACAATGATAAATGATTGTATATAGAGACAGAGCAAAGGCTTTTTGCAATCTCTTCTGTCATCCTGTTACTAACATAATATGTCCTCTCTTTGACAACATGAAAATATTGATAGTATAGTTAGTTTGAATTGATCTAATCTTAAAAAATCCATAAAATGACTGATCAATGTACAGTTGCTAACCAAACTTCCATTGGTGGGCTATAGTGATCTGTTATTGTCCAGGCTCATTTCCATGTCTTACTAATGCTAAAATTATAGAACAAAGTTATTAAATTTTTAGGTTAAATATAAGAGGATAATTAAAGTATATTAGATGAAAAAATTCAGTCACAATGAATTCAGATATTCAAGAATATGAAGTAAATCTTAGATTCCAAGTGAAATATGATAGATATAAATATTAAACCACACATATTGAACACTATAAAACAAATTTCAAAAATAAGGAGTGGAAGAAACATGATTGAGTAAAAATTTAACCTCCAAAAGACTTAGAGGTTTTAGTTGATAATTATCTTAATGCAAATCAGCAGTCTGCTTTAACAGTAAGAAAAACTAATATGATTGAACATTTTCCCACCAAAGAATAAGTACTAAAAACTTATTCTCAACCTTCTCTATACTTCAAAATTATTTTTAAGTGGTTTAAAGTGGTAATTTTGTTTATACAACACACCCTAAATTTCTAAATTATCACATCTGGAGGGTACCTTAGTTCTGTGTGTGTACACACATCTTTTTCAGTGTTTCACTTTGCCACAATATGTATTGAAATAGAACATGCACACACATTTAGGTCTACTAATTCCACTTCCAGCAGTTGGTGTTATAGCCACACATGTGCACATGCATAGAAAGTCTGTGAATATGATTTTTATGCAACTTCTCTGTAATGGGAAAAACTAGAACCAACCTGAATGTTTAGCAGAGAATGTCAAAAGCTATTTAGAGTAATAAGCCAGCTCAATATATGTTTCAGAATGGTCATAAAATAATATAAAAAGGCAAATTTCAAATGACGGTATATTATGTCATTTATGTAAGAAAAAAGGGGGAGATATAAGAGTTATATGTTTACGTATTTATAGAACATTTTTTCAAAGGGTTAACAGTGTTGACACTTAATAGACTGTTGACAATGTTTTCTTCCAAGAAGTGAGACTAAAGATAAAGAACAAGGAATAATAATTTTGCGTTCTATGTTATTTCTTTTAGGACAATAAATTTCATTGAAAAAAAGTATGTTTTAATATCTACATAAAGTCCAAGAAATTAAAAAAAAATCCTAGATTGATTCTCGAGTGAATTAGGTTGATAAAACACCAAATCAGGAAGAACTGATTGGCAACATTTACTTCCTGTTTAATATAATTGAATCACCTAGGTTTCAGTGAATTGACTTACCCTGTTTCTTATAGTGCCTAAAGGAGTACAGCTGTGATGCTTCTCCCAGTTACATGTGTCACACTTAAAAAAAAGGATTGTCACTGGGAGCATATTAACAGAGGATGTATGAAATAGTGACAAGAATTGAAGCTATGCCATTTGAAATACTCATAAAAGCAACAGGGAATTTTTGGT